GTGTGTGTGTGAGTGTGTGAATGTGAAAGAGTGTATATGTGAGGCAGCGTGGTGGAATCAGGCTCTCGTCAATTTTTTGGCATGTAGAGTTACTGGTATCATCTTAAAGCTTGTTCACCTGTCTTTATTTTAATGAAAAAAGTATCTATTTATCTTGAATACAAGTCTTGATATTTGCAATTGAAGGAGGTGGGCGTCACCTGTTTTCAGAGGTAAAATTAGTGAGAAAATGGCCTCCAAAGATTTACATTTTTTTTTGCTTTTAATCAACGTTTTTCAAAAAACCCCACACAGAAATGAGTTCTTTATTGGCATGAAAGGTTTTGAGCCAAAAAACAAAAATTTGATCAAAATTAAAAAACTTGCGGAAAAATGCAGGTTTCTTCACTTTGATTATTTTGAGGAGAGCCTGATTCTACCACGCTGTCTCACATATGTAAGTGTGTGTGAAGTGTGCGCACGCGCGCCCACCATACGTTTCACAGATCCAAACAGTGTTAAAGGCGCAAATCAGTACTGCTTCAGACCAATACTTTAAGAATGATATTTTCTATTTTACATGACCACTGAACAAAGGTGCCCAGAAAGAACAGAGGGCGTGATCTGTAACAAAATGACATCATTCTTAATGAATGGCAAAAAAACACCAACCGGGGTCCTAAAAAAACACACGAAAAAACGCCCCCAACAACAATAACAAACAACCAGAGGAAAAACAAAACTCACATCATCCGTATCCAGAAATATAAATCTGTAAGTAAGAGGCCCTAAGCACGATTTCCCTTACTAATCTAACCTTCCTTTTTGGGGCTCTCGAAAATAGTCATTATACAATATTATATTTCTATTTGCCTTCTTGCAACGACCGGCTATTTACTGAGAAGATAGTGATTCTTTCCCATATCGTTGCAGCCACGCTTGTTAGGTTGAGTGCGTGAAAGGGACAGTTTCACAACCACGCTCGCTAAGCAGCTGCTTTAGCTCCATAATATAATAATTATGAGTTATGTGGGCTAGTCAATTAAAAATATACCCCACACATTAGATTTCTCTTATGCTTACAGGATTTGCCTTTTATTATTATTATGTTGCATCGCGTAAGAACCAAGACATCTACAGTGAAACGAAGCTGTTTGAAAATGGTCATTGAATCTAGTCTCTTGTGGACTCAGTAGGGGTAGCGATCAGCTACATTTCCTTATAGTAAAGCAGTTTAACAACTATTTCTTTTTCGTACTACTAACTTCTTAAAGCATACAGTGAAGCTACTCACACCTGGAACAACACTTAGTTCTAAATGTCAAATAAATCCCTTAGGGATGGCTGTCGTATGCAAGACATTTCATTAGTTGTGTAAGAGTAGAATTCAGAACTAAACCATGATTGTATTGAAGGCAAAGAGAAAGCTTATATAATGATATTTAAAAAAAGCAAAAGCAGTTGGTCTTCGTCTTTTTGTACTTCTATGGGATATTTGACAGAAGATTCTTTTTCTTGTTGCTTTTTTATGAATAGAACTTAGCGACCTATACCTACTTAATTGATGGCCCTCTCAGTCATTTATACTAATGACCTTTTCAAGTTGTGACGAGGATTTGTTTAGAATATTACCAGAGCAGTCTGCCTGCTTTTCTCCGACTTTCTATCACCAGTTTAAACCTGTAAAATATTAAGACACCCCTGGAACCTTCCTTGCTTCCAAACATCAACCAAGTTTCTCCTTTAGAGCACATCAAAGAAAACAAGGTCTAGAGCGAGGGAAGTACTGTTGTACTCAGGCAATCTACTTCCTTTATGTCTGCCGCCCAGACAAAACTACCATGCGAACTGGATAGTCTGTCGAGACACAAAAAGCCATACATACATATCACTAGCGTGGGCGTAATATTATTATTACGCTGATAGCTCAGTTGTTATCTTTCTGGGCTATGGTTCTGCAGACCCTCATTTGAATCTTCCCTGGGTGGTCCTGAACTTGGGTTGTTCTGGGGTCTTTTTCAGGGCTCTTTACTATCCACTTGTTGGTTCCATTAGAGATAGATATTAACTTCTTTTTAACCTTTATCCCCCCCCCCCCCCGCGCTTACTTAAAACTCACAACTTATTTTGTGTTTGCATTGTGCAAACGCAAGCTTATTTTCCGTTCGCTTAAACAATACCCAACATTATGTCCATATTTACACCCAACTAACATACTCATCAAACCACGCTTCGTTAACTATTACATCCCGTTAACTTAACAATTACATCGTGGTGTCTTGGCCATTACATGACGCTAACTTGCATTACGCCTGGTTAACGTAACCATTACATTGTGCTCACATAGTCGATACATCGTACTAACAGAATCATTATACTGCACTATCATAACAATTACACCTCACTAAGGTAACTTTTCTTTTCGTTTGATAAGTGTGTTACGGCGCTTGCAACTACATAAGGTCATATGAGCGCGCGTGACACATTACACATTTTCAGTTAGCAAGAAATTTTGAATTTTGCCCTGGTGGCAAAATACTCTTATCGATTTTAGACTACCCAGGGATCTTTAACGTGCGCAACTTGCTCACGGGACCTCCGAGATTTTCGCCTTTGTCCGAGAAGAAGGTAACCTTTATATCTCACTAACGTAACCATTACATCGCTCTGCCTTAAGTTTTACAACGCCCTAACATAGCCATTGTATCGCACTTACGTAGACATTTTTGTGGGTGGTTGGCGGTTGCTCTGGGGTGGTTTGTTCCTTCTTTCCTAAAAAACAACAACTATCGTTCTTCTCTCTCCTCCTCCTTTTTTGTGTATGTTACTCTCTTGTAACACCTCTAATCTTCGGCATTTATATGACCTTATATTGTGTTGCATGTGCCGTTAAACTCTTACTAAAACTAAGACATATTTTTTACACTATGCTAACATAACCATTACATCATACTAAAATAACTGTTACCCCGAACGAACATAACCATGATATTGCATTAACGGAACCATTATACCGCACTTACATTACCATTGTCTCGCACTAACATACATTATATCACAGTAACATACATTATATTGCACTAATATAACCATTATGTCACACTAATATAACCATTCTGTCACACTAACATAACCATTACACCAAACGAACATAACCATTACATTGCACTAACGGAACCATTATCTCGCATTAACATTACCATTATATTGCACTACGGTAACTATTGCATAGCTCTAAATGCTCTAATATAATGGACTAGCCGGGCCACCTTTTGATGAAGGAAATGATCGGTGCCTTAACATCAATTGAATATCATTGGTCTACTATATTTATTACACTCTACTGGAATGGAGCAATACATCTTGAGAGAAAAGTGACACATGTGTTACCAAGTAGCCAAATTTTGATTTTTTAATAGATTCACAGGTTGATTACCCATGACACTAAGACAAATAAGAACACTTGATAGCTTCAAAAGACATCTTAAACATTTTCTGTTCCTACAGGCCTATCCTTCATAAGCTTTTAACGTTATCTTTCATTATATTTGTTCTTTTCCTATGTCTGGATGAAAATAGTCTCTCTCTCTCTCTCTCT